GACGCGGAGGCTCAGCGGCCATGGCTCACGGGCCCAGCCGCTCCGCGGCATGTGGGATCCTCCCGGACCGGGGCACAAACCCGCCTCCCCTGCGTCGGCAGGCGGACTCTCAGCCACTGCGCCACCAGGGAAGCCCCAACAAGAAAATTATTTTAGGGGTTTCTCTGTAATGTGTATATAATTGTGACAGTATTGGGAAAATACTGTAAATACTAAGATTTCTGTTTTTCATTTTATAGGGCGCCAATGCCTCGGCATTAGAGAAAGAGATTGGTCCAGAACAGTTTCCAGTCAACGAGCACTATTTTGGATTAGTCAATGTAAGTATCCGCTGATACGTGACCTTCAGATTATGCTTGGAACTAGTGTTAAGAATGATGAATGCAGTTCATAATTTATTAAAGGAAATTTGTTCCTTTGTATCAGTAGACTTAATGCCAAGAAACGTGACTTGGAGTTTCAAAATTAATTCTAATGGGAGGGAAACAACATTGCCTGAAGTCTTTTTTAAAATTTATTATTTATTTTTTATTATTATTACTTTTGGCTGTGTTGGGTCTCCGTGGCGGTGTGCGGGCTTCTCACGGTGGTGGCTTCTCTTGTTGCAGAGCCCGGGCTCTAGGTGCACAGGCTTCAGTAGTTGTGGCTCATGGGCTCTCTAGAGCACAGGCTCAGTAGTTGTGGCACAAGGGCTTAGTTGCTCTGCGGCACGTGGGATCTTCCTGGACCAGGCTCGAACCCGTGTCCCCTGCATCGGCAGGCGGATTCTTAACCACTGCGCCACCAGGCAAGTCCCCATTGCCTGAAGTCTTAAGAGTCTTGGAACAGTTTCTAACTTGTCAGCCTGATTTTTTTTCCTATTTTGTGTCAGAATTTTCTCATAACCAAAATTTCATATGGCCTAGGCCAAATGATCTCTTTGATTCTTTGAGAATTATTTACGTGTCTAAATATAAGTGGTCCAAATGTACAGATATAAATGTAGTTTTGTAAATGCCCCCATGTGTCTATAGCGTCTTTGTCAGTTTGCTTCTGGCGTTGTCCCAGTGGTATAGATTTAAAAGTGTGAAATATAAGAAAAAAACATAGCCTTGCCCTTGTGGAGGTAGGTAATCACTGTAATTATACATTATTAAAACTTTGGAAGAACTTTGTTTAGAATTTTTAACTCTTTTCCTGAATCATGAGAAAACACCACAAATCTTTGTTATATAGTTGTCATGGTAGTTTATGTTGTACTGTACTGTTAGGTGGATCCATGGTGAGTGTTTTAAAATATGTGTGTTGGTGATAATACAGGTAAGAAAGTAAGTTATGTTGAACAGATTGGTGTGTTACTGAGTATTAGCACGTCATTATGTACAGATAGATTCCTTGGGCAATTTGAGGAGGGCAGTTGCAGTGGTATGTGTGTCTTGCCTTGCTTGGGGACCCTTCTCTGTCTGCGCTGGGCATAAGCTAGTAATACAGGGTCAGCAGTGCCCACCCTCCTCCTCTTCCCCTCCCTAGAGGAGGCCACTCATTAGTCCTCGGGCTATTTTTTCTGGAATGTATCCTTACAGCCTAAATAAGGTACTTATACTGCCATTAAAAAAAAAAAACAAACTACTGACTTCCTGTTTTGGCAGATAAGAAACTTCACTCTCTTTTCTCACCATCCCTGCCCAACTTCACTTTCCCCCGTTCTCCCAATATGGAATTAATCATTGCTTTATTTTTCCATGTCCTGAACTTTCATTTATTCTTCCCAAGCCTTCAGCAGAACTAAAGAAAGCCAAAAAGACCTTCTTAATATCCGTTTCCACTGAGTCGTGCCTGTCAGGTACCACCCAGCCCCCCCCCCCCCCC